AATTGTACAGCCGGAATTTTCCCGAACGAGAGCTGCAATCGTTGCAAGATTCATATGGAACATTCTTTAATCTTCAAGCACTAAAAGTGAACTAATCGTTGTATACGCATCTGCCGAGCTCAAATCGAAACCTGTTTTGATATGATATCAAAATAATCGAACTTGACTTGAAAGCCTGTTTTCCAGAGGTGTACCGATTGTGTCAGCTCATTCTTACTATGCCAAGTACGTCCTCCTCTGCAGAAAGATCATTTTCGGCTCTCAAGCGTATCAAAACGTATCTTCGCAGTACACAAGGGCAAGAGCGACTTTCTGCATTGGCTACAATTTCAATCGAGAAGGAGATGTTGGTAAGTTTGCAGGGAAGCCACGATTCTATGAGGACGTTATAAAGGAGTTTTGCGCAAAGGAAAGACGGATGGAATTTACATTTAAGTAAATCTGTTGTAGGATTTTGGACTATTTCGTTCTGTTACTTCTTCACTACAATAGAAATGCACGCGTAGCCATTTACTTAAAACGACTTTATATCACAATACCACATGTAATACTTTTAAACCGTAATTGTGATATATACTCTATAAAAGTTTTTGAATTTTTTAGATTTTTTCAATACTGTTTCAGTCATGACAGATACATTTTTTCGACAAAGTACTCCCAGAAATCGCGGGAAATGCGCTCCAGTAGCCTTCAAAATCCAAAAATTTTATGGGGGAGCATGCCCCCAGAACCCCTAGAAAGCTTCGCGGCATGCCGCGAACCTCACCCCCAGCGCTTGCCTATTAAATTCGGTCACCGCACGCCACTGGTTATATTTTGTTTATGATGATGAAACTTTGTAATTCTAGAACCAATATTGTATTTCATATATTGTCCAGTTCGAATCGTTGATTTTTCCCTTTTAAGATATTTTTGAAGCGCTCAAAAACGTTGCTACTCAGTTCAATGGATAGCGTTATTCGACCTTCGTGTAACTGATCTCTTCTCCGATAATTTATTGGTAAAGTCTCTGTAAAAATATAAATCTGGTGAGAACCATATATGAACAATGAACATGATTATTGTTTACTTTACAGCTGTATCCAGTTACAAGTTGTGAATCAGAATGATCTCGTGATGAGCCCATCTTTACATTTCAATGATGTGTACATTACAATACGAAGAAAGGCAAAATTGAAGAAATATTTCAATATAAAACTGTGACTCTACGTTATGAAACGAAATAATAAGTGTGGAAATGAAGAAATAGTCGTTTTGGTCATATTTGGTGAGTAAAATTGTGTAAAACATTGATTTTAAAGCCGTATTGTTTAGCTACTCGTTATCGCTATTGTATAAAAGGTTTGACTAAATGGCAGAATACTCGTTCACTTGGATTCATTGACTGTGCATCCACATTTTCAGTAGATACACAGATGATATTATTACGTATATAAGACGATTCTAACTTCTGAGAAAAGAAAATTCAACGTGAAACGAAACTATAAGCTAAATAGCGCTACATCTATTGGACAATACGATAATATATATTTATGCTTAGTATATCAAATTGCGTTTCATCATATAAACACAAATGATCTGTTTATTAAACAAAACGACTATATTTTAATATTTAAATCGACCACAAACGATTTGCATCAATTATACATTACCACATTGATAGGTAATTATAGATTTATAGTGCCATTGTCGCACAACCTAAGCGTTCTTTTGTGCGGGATGCTAAATCACGATTCTTTTGACGACAAACGTTGGTTCATTACCACGAGTATTAAAATCAAAAAATGCTTATCCAATTCGTCTCTTCAAGACTTCAACTCAATGCGTTACAATGCATTAATCAAATGTGTCGATAAAATGCGACCATCAAAATGCGTATTGAAACAACCAGAAACGGCGTTTGCAGCCTCTATATATACTAAACATTCAACAAGATAAAATTACAAAGTTTCCTCTTTGCCACGATTGGAAAGAAGGTCTTCCTCAGCAACTCAATGCTTTAAACTTCCCATGACAAGTGCATGTGCGTAATTTAACGTAAATAGTTCCCATTTTACCATGCTCTTACTTCTTTAGTAATGTTCATGCTTACAGAAAGAGAAAGATAATTCACTTGTTTTGATTATTTATGAAAATTTCTTCCCGTATATTATTTTATACTGATAGGTTTTACATCGTCCATATTATTATTGATAAATTGATAAAATTTACGACAAGCAGGTCACGTTGCCAGAAAAACTGTCTGTTGCTCATTTCTTTTGCTGTTTTTCAGTTTTTCCAATTTTTATGAACACAAAAGGGGTTAAAGCCACAAAGAATTCAACATAATTTATGTATTTTTTTAATGATCCTTTTATTCGTTTGAAAATGACTGACTCAAGTAGTACCAACTATTGTCTGACTATAGCTGCTGATCTTTGGTTTGGAAACTCAAACTTTGACAAAAAATGGCCATTTGGATCGATATTTGGATACATTTTGACCTATTTTCTATTCTAATAATTTTTTGGAATCATATTGATAATTTATTTTAAAAGTCTCTGTCAAAAACATAAATGTAGTGAGAACCATATATGGACAATGAACATGATTATTGTCTACTTTTCAGCTGTATCCAGTTACAAGTGCGGAAGTGAATCAGAATGATCTCTTGATGAGCCCATCCCTTGCATTTGAATGATGTGTACATTACAATACGATTAAAAACAAAATTGAAGAAATATTTCAATATAAAACTGTGACTCTACGTTGTGGAACGAAATAATAAGTGTGGGAATGAAGAAATAGTCGTTTTGATCATATTTGGTGAGTAAAAATTTACAAAACATTATTTTTAAAATATTGTTTAGCTACTCTTTATATTTTATCACAGATTTTACTAACGCTTTGTATTTGAACTTTGATATAAGTTTTTCAGTTGGCCGTTGATTTATTTAATTTTAAAGTTTTGTTACTAATTTCTGTACCAATATTTTTTTTAGTTTTAAGTTCAAATAAAGGCTTCATCATTAAAACCAAAGATTCTTCATTAAATTAAGTCAGAGTATTCACAACATTATATTCTAAATCGATTTCTTGTTTGAAAATGGCTTCACCACCTCAAAAACTAAAGATTGAGGCAAATGGATTTCGTTTAAGTAAACTTTTGATAAATAAAGGAACCCAAGCTTTGAAAACAACATTGCAATTTAGTTTTAACTTTCGATCATCAAGTTTGATCAATGAACTTAAAGATCTTTTAACAATGAACAAATTGACTTTGCTTAAAAACAAAAGGGTCATCAGTAAAGAGCAATGGGAGCTTCTTTACCCGTCAAATGGCTCATCACCTGACATTGACAACTTTGACATCTCATTATTGACTGTCTTATTGAGAAATATTTGTGGTCTAACAGCGCCATCTGGAGGATGGGATAATCTTCCTTCCTCTTCAGATACTTCAATATCAGCAAATATTGCAAGAATAAAGTTTTATCGAAACAAAGTGTACGGTCACATAACCACAACTACTGTAGATGACAGTGAGTTTGAGTATTTGTGGCAGGTAATTTCAAAAGCATTGGTTGGTCTGGGTATTCAACAAACTGAAATAGATGAAGCAAAGAAAGCTCCCCTCAGTCCTGATGAGGCAAACCATATTGAATTATTGAAAAACTGGTATGAAAAAGAAAAACAGTTAATCGATGTCACTGAAAAAATCAAAGAAGATGTGAAAGTAATGAATAGAAATGTTGTGCAGATAAAACAAATGTTACAAGGCGAAACATATTTAGATGTCGAAAAGCTTGGAAAGTGTAATTTCAATGGTCTTATAAAAGATCTTAACAAGAAATACTTAAAAGGCACTAGAAAATGGTTATTTAAAAAAGTCGACACTTGGTTTAATGATAGAAGTGAAGATGCTTCTAATGTCATGATTTTAATTGCCGGTCCTGGTGTTGGTAAAAGTGTGTTTGCTGCTGAGGTGTGTCGACGATATTCTGAAAAGAAGAAACTTGCTGCTTCTCATTTCTGCAGATATAATCGATCAGATTATAGAAATCCTCGAGTATTGATAGAATCATTGGCTAGTAGCATGTGTGATACAATATCAAATTTTAAAAGTAAACTGAATGAAGAATTAAAGAGAAACAATTCCAAAGAATCGATCACCGATGCTTTCCTTGTTTTATTAAATAATCCATTGCATTCATTAAAAGATCATAAACCAATGCTTTTGGTTATTGATGCCTTAGATGAAAGCCAAGTTGATGGCAAAAGTGAATTGTTGGAATTGATTACTTATGAATTTGGCCGACTGCCTAAATGGATTAAAATCTTCATCACCAGTCGTCCAGAACTTCCTGTTCAAAAGGAGTTGAAAGACATGAATCCTGTGGAAATTACAACTCGTCCTCGTGATGAAAACAACGAAGAAGACCTGAAAAAGTATTTGAGACATCAGTTGAATGATCAGGTGCAGGAAAATCGCTACCTTCTTCACTCATTAGTTGAAAAGTGTGAGGGATCATTTCTTTATGCGTATCACGCACAACTGAGCTTGAAAGAAGAAAATACTGAGCTTACTTACGAAAACATTCAAGAGTTGGTCCCTAGTGGGTTAAGCGGTGCTTACACAAAGCAATTCAAAAGAGTTAAAGAATTGTTAACGAAGGAAAGTTCCAGAAATTCTGTTATCTCAGAAATTACTTTCATGCAATTTCTTGAATTGTTGGCTGCCTGTCGGAAGTTTTTACCATTAAATTTCCTGTTTAGCTATTTAGGTTTTTCTGGTGACATCAAGTTTGAAGTCCGCAGTAAAATCATTGAACTGTTATCTCAAATTTTGCCAGTTTACGATGATTGTTTAACCGTGTATCACAAATCTCTAATTGATTGGTTGAAATCAGATGGTTACGAACAGCATGAGTTTACAGTTAATCCAAAAAATGGTCATAAGTTCTTATGGCATGCTTGTGAGAAAGTGTTAAGATACATCGAGTCGATGGACATTTCAGAAGATCAGATGAACACTGCTATGATTAAATATGCTTTGAAGAATAGAATCTATCATATGTCAAGATGTGGCGAAAATGTTGACTTTAGCTTTGCAGTGGAAGACAATGACATGTATACCACTAGGTCTGAATTACCATTAGGTATGGTTTTTCAACTTTTGACGTTATGTTTTGACGTTTATGGTTTTACTGTATGCGTTTACTGAATATACTCTAAAGTAGTAAATTCAAAATGTTTTATCACACCAAAAAATTTTCATCTCGGAGATTGTTATATTTTTATAGTGACTGTAATGTACATCTTTCAAAATAGACTTTGAGTTTGCAGAAATAAAGATAATGAGGTTCACTTTACTAAAGTGAATAAGAGAAACAGTACGTGTCAGATAAGTTAGAGTTAAACATAAAATGCTGATGGAACGAAAATTTACCAATCTGTGTTATAATTTATTAAACAGACATTTTTATATGATAATTGATTTCTTGTACTAGTTTATGCATATCACTTTTCATTCTCGAGATATTGAAGTTTTTATTTTGTCTGATTTATCTGATGTCACATTGCATCATGAGAACTAGATGTATTAAATAAATTTGCTGGTGCATTATTTTAACATTAATTTCCTTCTTTGTGATGTGTTAATGATATAAATTACTGCATACCATTATCAACATAAAGTTGTCAGGAAAATTGAGGGTATTTGAAACATTGCAGCGACTCATTTTGCATGCAATATTATGTCACAAGTTAGATAAATTGGTAATTGCAAGGACTTCAGTATTTTCAGAATGAAAAACGTCATGCAGAAAAGGTTTTAGAAAGCACTCTGTCATTTCAAAAGTTTTGGTCAATACTGATATAATTTAAACAGCAAAATTTTCGTTTCATTGGCACTTTAAGATGTCCAAACAAGGTTTGAGAGAATAATTGTTGAGATCGAACTTCAATGTTAATGTTTGGCAACAAACATAAGATAGTGTATGTAAAAGACAAGTGTCGAGAATAGAAAAAAATTGAATGAAGCTATTTTGTTATCTTTTGGTAAGAAAAATTTTTTAGACTCTAAAAAATATATGCTCTCAAAATTTTAATTTAATATTTTCGAAAAACGAAAGGTTGATCATTAAGAAAAATTCATGAAATTACTGCAGAGAGATGTTTTTGTGATTAATTGTTTGGTATAAGCTAACCTCGAATGTTACCAGTTAAAAAATTTATGAAATGTCTAATAATTGTTAATATGTTTGTTTTAAAAGTGTACGGTATCAGTATCCTTTCCTAATTGGGGAAATTTCAGCCAGTTTGATGTATTTAGTTTGTTTCTTTAACCCTTGATTATAATATCTTTATCTAGAAGAGTGGAAATACATTGATCAATCAACGAAACATAGAGACTTGTTTATAAAATTGATTGAATATGGGCGCAATCCCAGTGTTGAGGTTAAAGTGATGGGAAATGTACGTGTAATACTCTCAGAAGAATTTTGCATTGGCGAAGGAAGTGATGCAACCCGTGTTTTTCTTGGACTGAGTAAGGATGGTTACGGTAAAGCAGTGAAACAAATACATCGGCATAAATTTATCCAGCTTGCACATCACGAAAAGAAAATTTTAAATGAATTCAATGCAAAGAAGTCGAAATATCTTGTGAATTATTTCTATTTAGAAGAAGATACTGGAACCGATTATATTTATTTGATATTAGACTTATGTGAAGAATCATTGGAGAGTTTTGTCAAGTCTTCTACTTTGCATGATCTTCAAAAAGCTCTTCCTAATATTCTTAGACAAATTTTAAAAGGATTAGCTGATCTTCATAGCGGCCCAAATTGTATTCTACATCGGGATTTGAAGCCTTCCAATGTTCTGCGAGACTCAAAATGCCAATTTCTGATAGCTGACTTTGGCATAAGTCGAATAATGAAGAATGACACAACAACATATAAAAGCAATACTTCCATGGGAACTTTGCATTGGATAGCTCCTGAATCATATTGCGAAGATGATGATTCAGTAAACAAAGCGCGTTACAATAGAAGGTCTGATGTTTATGTAAGTGTAGGAATGTAAACATTTGTAAGTTGTAAAGAAAGTCAATGTTGTGAATTTGCATTTTGATGTAACGCTTTTTATTATTTTAGAATGCAGGGATGGTAGCTTATTATGTTGCAACAAAAGGAAAACATCCTTTTGGAACTAAACCCCACAGACTGATTAATATGTTAAATGGAAACCCTGTTGATTTGAAAGAAATCAAGGATGAAACATTAAAGGACCTTCTGAGGTGGATGTTAAATCTAAAACCTGAAGACAGACCATATTCTAACGAAGCATTAAAACATCCATTTCTCATGTCAGATAATGAGAAGTTTGAAATGTTAAGTAAAGTTGGGAATCTTCGGCAGATTAAGACAAATGATCTCCAGTCAAGTGTCGTTCAAAAATTGAATAGCGAATCCGTAGATTTGGAAGGTCAATTGGGTAGTGATGTTTATGAATATTTCGTGAATGGAAGGCCCTATAAATCTTCATGGACAGAATGCTTAAGGCTTATTCGAAATATTGATCAGCATTGGAACGATCCACCTCTACCACAACCAGAATTATTTTACAATATTGGCGATTACAAGGCGTATTTTCTCCAAACATTTCCTAATCTCCCTGTTCGAGTACATGCTGCTGTCAGGTCAAATAAAGAATTGAAAAACAAACCAGAACTCAAGAATATTTTTAATTTTGATGAAAGCGAACTACATCAATAAACATTTCTGAAATTATTATAAGTACTAAAAGTCTGGCATTGGTATTTTGAGCTCTTGGTAGTTCTTTATCGTATAAACCTGACCATCAGGAGTTGTGCATAATTCCATAAGTAGAATATTTTGTGTTTTACTATCTCACATTAATTACGTAACTGAACCACATAAAATAGTTAAATTAAATAACATTTTCATGAGATTGAGTGATTAACAGCATTTCGTCTAATAACTTGTAAATGGACTCAATAATATTTTAATTAGTTTTATAGAAAAATATTTATAGTTGTCCTCATTTTCTGATATTTTGCTTATTTCATGCGCTGTAACCCTAACAGTTATTTTGTGCCTAAATCCATACAACTAAAACGCAAGTGCTATGTATTTAAGATTTCTTAAATGAATATTGAATATACACCTAAATACACGTAAGGTTAACTACGGTGCTCTCTATTGCCTATATTCTAAAACTCTCTCACACTCACATTTACTGAGTAAAGTTTCAAAATAATTTTGTAACTGCTGGAAGACCTTGTATTTACTCCACAGATAGAAAATGTTGAAAGTTACGTTGATTTTATCATCTCAGATCCCATATCATCTGGTAGATATCCGCACATTAATGTCACATGAAAGCACTCAGTATTAGTTGTGTGACAGTTTTAGTTTAAAGATTTGTAAATCATTTATATAAATTTTGAGCTTTTTTGCTTTTTTATTTTATTGAATTAACCTCGCAAAGAACATACTATAACAGCAAAAGAGCGTAAATAACTTCTAAATGACAAAGAACAATGCTAAAGCTTTCTCCAGTTACTGCAGCCTTTAAAACACAATGTTGCAAACATTAAAAACAACACGATTTATATAATGTATAATAAGTGCGAAAGATTTTTCTTGAATTGACGAAGACTGACATTTTTGCCTCTTAAGTTGTTTGGATTTATTCTAGAGTGTACTGCACCTATTTAATTAAGATTTTAGAAACGTTCTTATTTTACAATGAGTTGTAACATATGACAGCTTGATTTTCTGGAATGTACAACCGTGTTTGTCTTCGGCAGCGAGGATTGGCTTGTAATAGTAACTAATCTTCATCAATCTTCACAAGACTATAAATTATTTTGTATTCGTTTACAAACCAAATAGTATGCTTTTAAAGGGCCTATGACACGAAAATTTTATGTTTGCAATGACCAGAACTTTTAAAATGACAGTGTACTTTCTAAAACAGTTTATGCAGATCACTTTTAATTCTTGAGATATTGAGGTTTATGCTATGTCCGATTTATCTAACTTGTGACGTCACATTGCATAATGAGAGTTAGAGTATTAGGTATATTTAACGATACTTTACTTCACAAGGACATAGTTTCATTTGTTGTGGCGTGTTTAATGGTATAAAATGCTGCCTATTAGTATCAACCTAAAGTTGTCAGGAAAATGAAGAGTATTAGAAAAATTTTAGAACTCATTATGCAATATGACGTCACAAGTTGGATGAAATAGAAATAACAAAACTTCAATATCTCATGAAGGAAAAGAGATATGCATTAACTTTTAGAAAGTACACTGTCATTTCAAAAGTTCTGGTGATTGCAAACATAAAATTTTCATGTCATGGCACTTTAAACGTCATAAGTAATTGTACATTTCCAAGTATAACATTGGGCTGAATTGTAAGGGATATTTTATACCACTTAGTAAATATGTATGCTTTATAACTTATGAAGCGGTAGACAAAGCTGATAAATCACTTGCTGAAATTCACTATCCACCAGCTAGAGGACCACCTTTCACTTGAGGGAAACAAATGTAAATTATAATCTCATTTACCCCCAAAATTGGATGGAAGTGTCAATAACCATTATGAACATTTTTAGAAAGCCAAAATTTCATTTAATCAAATTGAAGCATTTGTATATAATATGTCATAAAAAATGGATATTTTTTTCTACACATAAAATACAGAAAAAAAAAGATCATCATCTTTACTTTAAAGGTTTCTTTCGAGTGAATGAATTTCAAAAAAATTCGTTTTCAGACTGAACCACATACATTTGCCAATAAAATTCTAACTGAGAACAAAATTATTTTAAATGTAGGTATAGCCATAGATGCCTTTCCTATGACAATGTGTTGCCTGATTCCTCTTTTTGTTCAATGATATGTTTGTGAATAGATATTCTACACACAGAGCTAAGCCGACCTTGACACATTCTATTCCTCAAATAGCTTTTGACTCTTTTCAAGCAAGAAAACGACCTCTCTACTGAAGCATTTGCCACTACCAAGACACCATTCAATTTTAACAAATTTACCACTTGACGTACACTCGACTGGAGATTAAATTTGTAGATGTATTTAAGCACCTCATTACTGCACTCTTTGTGAAAGTCCTTGGCGTTGTAAATGAAGAAAAGTTGACTCTCCAACGTTGGAATGTCAAAAAGAGGACTATATTTATCTTTGAGAACATTGATCTCCTCCTGTTGAACTATGCCTTTCCAGGTAGTAAATAGTTTAGGATTTACAAGATCTAAAAACTAGAACTGATTAATATCTTGAAATCATTCAGTTAAAGTGTATATAAAGCTTATGGGATTTTTTGTATACTGAATCAACGTCGTGTAAAACGTTATATACCAATTTTTTCTTCGTTGGACAAATAGTTCTCGTGCTAAACTCAATTAAAATCATAAAAAACTGGCCATTTGAGTCGCTCGGTTTCCCGGTGATAGACTGGAATTACGCGGTCATTTAAGGAAAGCGTGACGTCATGTAAGTAACATTTCAGCATTTGATATTCCTAATCGCTGTATAGTTGCTGGCTGTTCTTACGTTCCTTGCCCCGAAAAGGTCTTAGGACTTCACCGCATTCCTTTTTATGGATCAGAAGATCCTATAAAATAGAAAAGGAGGTAGAAGTGGCTAGATTTTGTCGCTTTCAAACGAGCGAAATGCCCCATATCAAAGATGTCGAGCATTTGCTCGCTGCACTTCAAACCTGAAGATTTTACCAGACGGTATACTAGTTTGCAAGGGCAAACAAGTAGACTGGTGTCTGTTGAAGTTGGTGTGTTTGCTTTTCCTTCTGTTCATTTCTCATAAAGACTGACGAAAGAAAGTGCGCCTTCTGAAAGGAATCGTAGACAAGTAAGGATTTTTGTTTTGAATCCTATATATAATCCGCGTGAGACTGATAACTTCGAAGAAGGAAGCTTGTTTTAAATTCGTCAAAGATTTTGTGATGGAAATTTAATTTTTGCAGTTGATACATATTGTATTTTATTGTAGGTTGTTAGAGACATTTTGTGTAGCACAGAAGCAGGTCCTTGCTCTTCTAATCAAGACACTTTGGAGCTGAAAGTACTACCTCTTTGGAAGACGGCGATACTGATGTTGAATTTTTTAATGATGTCTCGCAAGTTCAAACAATTGCAGTACAAGCAGAAGTACAGGTATTGGATTTATTCCAATAATTTATTCGAAAGACTTTTTACACTAATAGATTGTAAGATCTAAAGATTATATCTTTTTTTGTAGGTTCAGAATGGGTTTTGCCAAACTGAGGAAGAATATTGCAGGCAATGTGTTCAATACAAAGAAAACACGAGGCAATTGAAGAGAACGATAGAAAGCAAGAATGCTATTATCGAACAACTTACTGAAGGTAAATTGTTTCATTACATTCAATTTGGTTTCTTCAAGAGCATATATTCTTGTGGTGTCTCCATGTCATTTAAATAGATACATGGCTGCAATTAAATTACTAAAATATGAGTATTGTAACACATGTGTATATCATGATTTCATAGAAAAAAAGAAACTATGTAAACTGGTTGGAACAGTAGTAAAATGTGTCAAGGTGGATAATCAGAATGAGGAAGACAAGCAGGATGGTAGTGATGATGATAACATGGATATGGATATTGACATTGGTAGTGAGATGGAAAATGAAGGTGAAGTTTGATTTCAATGCTAATAACTGAAATTATATACCACAAATTATATTAACATATAAATATGGTCGAAAGGTTCTGACAACTATGACATTGAAACAGATTCTTCCCAAAGTGAAGAGCTAGAACCTGAAGATGAAACAAACCTGTCAAAAAAGTATGATTGTGCTGTACATATGCATTATTTAGTCTTCCAGTGTTATCAACCATTTTATTTGTGTCTCTCGACAGACAAAATATAATATATACATGTATTGTTCTAACAATCAGGGTGAACAAAGAAGAAAGCAACCAAAGTTTATTGTCACCTTGCCACAGCTGTTGCTCCAGTTTAACGTATGTCCATCATGTGGTACTGATAAGCCAATAGTTAAAGTATCAAAAGTTGGTACTATGGCTGATATAAGCACGTCATGTGGCAACCTTAGTTGTAAAAATAGAGAACGCAACTGGAAGTGACAATCATTCCTGCCAGGTTCCAGTATTCCAATGGGAAACTTTCTCCTCTCATTTGCCATTTTATTGTCTGGAGCTTCTGCTAGCAAGGTACTTTGAGTATTCACACACATGGGTCTTCAAGGCATATCTTTGACTACATTCTTTAAACATCAAAGGGTAAGTTGGTTGTTTTGATTTTCCTGATTACCAAGGTTTGAAGTTGTGTTTTTTATATTCATTTGATATTTCTTTATCAGGAATTGCTTTTCCCAATGGTCAGGATCCATTGTAGGAAATACAAGCTGGCCATGTTGGAAACAATTAAGAAGCAGAAGAAAACAGTGGTCAGTGGAGATGGCAGACATGACAGCTTGGGCCATTCTGAAAAATATTGTGCTTACACAATATTTTGTTGCTCTGTGCCCATGATTCTCCATTTTGAACTAATTCAAGTATGCCTTATTGACCTACTTTGTATGACACATTGAGGGTGGCTATATTTACCCCACCTCCTACTTTGTATGACACATAGAGGGTGGCTATATTTACCCCACCTCCTACTTTGTATGACACATAGAAGGTGGCTATATTTACCCACCTCCTACTTTGTATGACACATTGAGGGTGGCTATATTTAACCCACCCCCTACTTTGTATGACACATTGAGGGTGGCTATATTTACTCCACCCCTACTTTGTATGACACATTGAGGGTGGCTATATTTACCCCACCCCTACTTTGTATGACACATTGAGGGTGGCTATATTTAACCCACCTCCTACTTTGTATGACACATTGAGGGTGGCTATATTTACTCCACCCCTACTATGACACATTGAGGGTGGCTATATTTACCCCACCTCCTACTTTGTATGACA